ATCCTACCTGTCTGCACGAAGAAAGGGACAAAAGGCCTTCAGACGCACCAAGGGAAGATTACACTTACACCGAAAACCAGTCAGGCCAGAGCGTTTACAGGGTAATGTCACATGCATTGATGCAGCGTGCTTCTGCCACCACCAGCATTGTCCCAGTCTTTGTGTCGTCAGTAGAAGAGCCCCAAAGAGAAATTCTCACCTATGCGCTACTGGACACTCAGAGCGACTCAACATTCATCTTGGATGATTTGCTTGACAACTAAAGGTGGCCCCACAACCAGTGCAGTTGAAACATACAATGACGGCTGTAGACACGGTTACAGCAAGCAAGAGTGTCCATGGTTTACAAGTCCGAGAACGCATCAATCCCCATCTGGATAGACAGGGAAGTCAAAGCTTTGTACATCGAGGTGTTGTGAAGGAAATACTAGCCCCTTCAGCCACTGATATTCTGAAGACCTTGAAGTCAGACTTCAATGAAAGGAGTTATGAGGACAAGTATGTGTCTCAACAAAATTCAACAAAAAATATGACCACTATAAAGCCTTCATGGAAGAAATGATCAATAAAGGCGATGCAGAGTGCACCCCTACAACACCTGAAGGAGAGATCGAGTGGTACATCCCCCATCACGGTGTGTACCACCCCAAAAAGCCAGACAAGCTGAGAGTTGTTTTTGATTGTTCAGCGAAGTTCCGTGGCATCTCTCTAAATGACACCTTACTGACAGGCCCTGATCTAATTAACTCTCTAGTGGGAGTTCTTTGTCACTTCAGGAAAGAAACTGTAGCTGTGATATTGAGAGGATGTTCCACCAGTTCTCTGGCACTCCAGAAATGCAGAACTACCTGAAGTTCCACTGGTGGAATGAGGTGATTTGGAAAGTGAGCCACAAGAGTATAGGATGGCAGTCCACGTCTTTAGCTGCTTCATCACCTAGATGTGCCAACTTTGGCATTAAATATCTAGCACAACAACACAAAGCTGACCATCCACCTGACTGTGCATCAGCTTTTATAGAAAAGAATTTTTGTGTAGATGATGGCTTAACCAGCATTGCATCAGTCGAAGATGCCGGAAAGCTGATCAGTGAATCAAGTAAATTGTGCAAAAGGGGAGGCCTACGTCTCAAATTTGATTCAAACAAGAAAGAAGTTCTTGAAATTGTAGACCCTTCAGAAAGGGCAATGACAGCTAAACCTCTCGATCTTAGTTTAAACCAAATGCAGGTCACGCACTGGGTATTCAAGCCTTCAATGTGCCGTGGTATTCTATCTATCTTCTCTTTTTGACCCACTTCGGTTTGTCACTCCATTCACCCTAAATAGAAAGTGCATCCTACAGAAGCTGAAAGAAGTCACCCACTATCACCCACAAGACTTCGGCAACATTGTCAGAACAGAACTGCACCACTTTTCAGATGCCAGCAACGTGGGATATGGTATATGCTCCTATCTAAGATACAAAAATGACAAGGATGAAGTGCACTGCAGTCTTGTGATGGCCAAAGCGAGAGTCGCACCCACAAAGGCCACGAGCATCCCAAGATTAGAACTCTCAGCGGCTGTGGTCTCTGCCAGAGTGAGTCACATGCTGAAAACTAAGCTTGAAATAAAGATTGATGATGAGTTCTTCTGGACAGACTCTCAGGTTGTGCTGGCATACATTAACAATGAATCCCAAAGGTTCCATATATTTGTTGCTAATCGCATTCAACTGATATAGCAAATACAGATCCCAGGCAGTGGTGCTATGTTGACACAGCAGAAAACCCTGCCGACCATGCCTCTAGAGGCCTTTGTGTGTCAGATATCTCTTTGTCAATCTGGTTATTAGGACCAAAATTTCTGTGGGAGCAAGAAGCGCATGCTACATCTCACCCCTCTACTGAGCTGCTTTTTGGCGACTGCTTAGACATTCTTAGCCATTTCAGTCGGTTTTCTTCTTGGCCCACACTCCTTAAAGTGGTTGCAAAAATTAAGGGACTAGGGTCTAAGCAAGAATATCACAGAGACTTTGTTGCTATCGAAGAACGTGAGAGAGCAGCTGAGGTAGTGATCAAGCTTGTCCAGCAGCAAGCCTTTTACGCAGAGATGAAGATGCTTCAAAGAGGAAATAGTCTTCCAAGCTCAAGTCCACTCTACTGCCTCGACCCAATTTTGGACAACGGACTACTTCGTGTTGAAGGAAGACTGAAACAGTCATCTTTCAGTCAGGAGCTAAAACATCCAGTCATCCTTTCAAAGGATTATCACATTACCAGGCTCATTCTCTCTCACTATCATGTCAAAGTTTGTCATCAGGGCAGATGTTAGGGGTGGGAATCTCTAGGCACCTCACGATTCGCTGTGTCAGTAAAATATCTTTGAGATGTGGCGTGAGCAACATTGCACGGAAGCCCTATTTCTCAACGACTGAAAATTGGCGTGCAGACTGCAGGTCACCTAGCAACGAGGTTTCGCCTAGCTAGTAGCGAACGAAAAGGAAAACAGAAAGAAAGACGAACATTTGGAGACGAATGGACTTATTCGCATTTATAAGCAACGTAGTTGGTTTCCTGATACGTTAAATCTGCAACACTAATAAGTTGCGAAGATGAAGTTGCTTCTCTTTCTAATTTTCCTGTTCCACCTTAAATAGTGCTGCATTTACCTTCGGCGCCTCAGTCAGAATTTAAGGTGGAACGGGAAAGTTCAGCAAGAAGCTGGAGAATAAGAAGCGACTTCAGCCTCGTACAACAGCCGAAAGCTGAAAGACATTTTACAAGAAACTATTCAACTTTTGAGGAAAAGTTTTCTGGCGGAGATGGAAGAAAAGTGGCTGTAGTTAAAGCTTGAAGCAGAGTAGAGTAAGTCCGCGTTTTCATTTATATTGTTTAGTGTATACTCGGACATTAATACATACTGAGACATACTGGACATTAAATGTTGTGGCTCCCAAGGTGGTTTGATTTTTGTTGAAAGGTCAAAATGGCTCTTATCATTTGGGTTGTGACTCCTGATCTAACCTGGCTTTTAATGCAGAGGGAGCCAGTCGGATTTCTTGCTCATCCCGTTGTGTGATACCAAGGCACTTGAAGATTTTCTGGCTGAAAACCAGTGTGAATTTATCTTTAATGCCCCCTCAGCGAGCCATGCTGGCAGCATATGGGAACGCCAAATCCGGACCATTCGAAATGTGCTAAATGCCGCACTTACTCAGTATCCAAGCAGACTTGATGATGCTTCCCTTAGAACCCTGTTCTACGAAGCGATGGCCAGTGTCAACAGCCGCCCATTAACTGTGCATGGAATTAATGATCCTAAGTCACTCAAACCCTTAACACCAAACCATCTAATCTTGATGAAGTTCAAGGTCGCTGCTCCACCTCCTGGGAAATTCGTGAGGGAAGATGTGTATGCAGCAAAATGATGGCACCGAGTCCAATATTTAATCAAACAATTTTGGAGTCGCTGGAAGAAAGAATATCTCCTGAACATTTCCACATGGCAAAAGTGGTATGTACCTCGACGCAACCTCAAAGTAAATGACATAGTCATTATCAAGGAAGACATCCTCCCAAGAAACCAGTAGCAGCTGGGGCGAGTGGTTGAGACTGTAGAAGAAAACAGATGGCCTAGTTTGTTGAGTTAGAGTACAACTGGAGGACCGTAAACCAACCAGAAAACAAGATCAGGCCTCCAAACCTTCAATCATTGAGCGGCCCGTCCAGAAGTAGGTCCTTCTCCTTGAGAGTTAGTTAGTTGGGCCCAATCACATTTCACCCCTTGCCCACACCACTTAGCCCTTAGCCCTCTGTTTTGCGCGTTCACGTCTAGGGTTAGGGTGTCCCAATCTTTGTTGACATAGAGGGGTAGGGCAAAGTGTTAGGGCTACATTGCCCTCCAAACGGAGGTTTTTCAGAGGCACACTCCAAACTGAACGTTATGAAAAAAAAAAACAGAAAAACCGGCAAGATGGCTGCGTGAGCAACCAAAAAACCCACAAATGTAAGTATTTTCTCCATTAAAACTCCAATAAAAAAGTTTAATGTCATTTCAATGTATTATGATTGTTTTCTTTGTAACAAGCAGAAAAAAATCGCTAATAGCATGCTAATGTCTTGGTAGCTAGCTAGCTAATTGTCCCGTTCCACCTTAAATAGTCCAGCAGTATTGATGCCTGAAGCGCCAGAATGCAAGTATATGTAACTGCTGCACCATTTAAGGTGGAGCGGGAAAATTCAAACAAGAACCTGGTGAATAGCTGACTTCAGCTTTGTATCACCAAAGAATTAGCAGTGGGCGATAATAAATAATTGTCTTATACTCCCTTTTTGAAAGCATATGATGCCCTAAATGTAACCAAAGACTAGCTTTTGCTTTCTCTGCTATCACTGAAGATGAGCCAGGTCATCTACAGAGCACTGCTAGTAGCCTGTTAATGAAGCAGTGTTTTTTTTTTTTATTTGATTTTTGTCCCATTTTGTAGGGCAAGATTTCAACTACTACCCCTTGTAACTCAGTTCCAAGGGTTTAGGTTGACACTCGAAAACAAGGGGTAGGGGTAAAAAGAAGAAATGGAATTGGGCCTTGGTATTGGCAGTGATTAATACCCTTATACCAGACACGTTGATTCTATAAACAATATGGGTCATGTATACACTACACACTTATATGAACTTATGGGGTAATACCATTGTGGTCATTTGTTAGAGTAGAAATCATGTATGATTCATTCAGCTTTAGTTTACCTTGTTGTGTTCATTCATCATAACATGATTTGGTGGGACCATTCACTCAGTATAGCTGCATAATTGTGACTGCTCCTTTGAGAAAAGAGCGGATGTGGTGCCACAGCAGCGCGGGGAAACTAGTAGATTCACTTTCCTTACTTTGATTTTCATTTTAAAAGAAAACGTTTTTCCTCACGTTCATTCAAGTATATGCTGAAGCTCTTAGAGTTTTAAACTCACCGTCTGTGTTTGTGTGTGTTAGTTTTACGAATGCTTTTCTCTGTAGAGAAGTCTGCTGGCATGCATTCACGTCATTGTTAGCTTAAGGAAAGGGCTAAACGAAAACCAAAGGAAGAAAAATACTCAAAGCCTCGTCAAATATTGCAGCCTTGGCATGCGGAGCGAGGTATGTAACACTGAACTGATGTAATAAGAAATGTACCAAGTTGTGTTTATATGTGTTATAGCATCTGTGAAGTTTTGGTTCTTTTTTTGGTTTGATGCTAAACTCACCCGTTTTCTGGCGTTAAATGCTATCTCTGTGTATGTAAGCTAAAGCCATAAAGGCTTTGTTATTTACATTACTTCTTTGTACTATAACTATAACTAAAACTATAAGCGTTTTGTTTGTATCTTTCATTCATCTTTCAGTTTTCATGGTGCTCGTGAAGGAACTATTGGTACTTGGAAGTCCATCCAGCTGAATAAAAGTAAGCACCCGTTTTAGAAACACTCTGTGTCTTATTCGTCGAAGCCAAGAGCTGCTACAAAAACCCTCAACACCCTGAATAATTCATAGCAGAGGGGTAGTCTTTATTACATGCAGGGTACATAAAACAATTTACATATGCTCACTTAAAAATGCACTATAATACGGATCTCTGGCCAATACTGTGATTATATGTGAGATAAGAACATACTGAATTAACACTGAAACAAAACTTGTCTTACCTCCTCATCTAGCTGGCTTGCAAACTGAAAACAAACCTAAAGGAATTCTACAAATGAGACTGTGGCTAACCCTTTTCCCTAAATACCATCTGTCCATTTGAAGCTCAGAATACTAACTAGGCAAGCTCACCTCTGACAAACTTTCAGAACTTTATAATATGCCACAACTTTGGTGTGGTGTAGGCACTAAATGTTTTTCCTGAGAATCATTTACCCTGCAGTACAGGAACAGTGCTGCTCTTTTATTTCCATATCATGAGGTTTCCCACTTTTGCCTGCGATCTCTAGGCTTTAGTTGTATTTTTATTCTCTATTTTAGGCAGCAAGGAGTGCATAGAGGGAAACTCTTGTTGTACCTTTTTGAAATTTTGTATTGCTCCAATACACTCCTGCAAATGTCACAGCATAAAATATCTTCCATGCCACTGAAAACTCCATTGTTGACATGCCAGCTTGTTAGTTGTAGTGTCAGTAAACAAGGGGAGCAGGACAAGGCAAGGGGGCTTTTTTCTTAAAAAAGTAATTGTAAGTTGTTTTATTTATTTTGGTTGATCTAATTCCTTCATTGATAGTTATTTTGATCATGTTATTATTTTTGTTTACTATATTATTGTAATGTGTCTTTATATATGTCTTACAGGGCCCCACTGTAAATGAGACTTTGGTCTCAGTGAGCTAACCTGCCCCTGTATAAAAAAATACATAAATAAAAATTGCCAAGGTGGTTGATTGGGGCAGGACAAGGTAAACAGTGCTTTAAAATCTAGATGTTCCCTACAATATCAAAGTTAATCATTTTTCTCTACCACAGCAGTGAGACATTTGTGCTTGGAGTAAATTTGGAATAAAATGACACTATGCTAATGTGTAACATTAATAGGTGATGAATATTTATGTAGTATATTTATGTAGCTAAATAAGTGTTGTAGTTGTGTTTCTATGTGAAAGCTAGGCTAGTCTTGCTAACACTTAATCACAGGATAGCCACTACTTTAGACTAGACCTTGCCACTGATTTTTAGTAGTTAGTTACTATAAAATGGGCTTTGGGTTTCCCAGACCCAAATTAAGCCTAAGCCTAGACTAAACAGAATTTGAAACACCGTTGTCGTAATTCAGTCCAAGACTGAGCTAAATACATGTCAGAAAAAAACCTAACCAAATCAGACTAATAAAAATAATCAGAGTTCAAGGAGTTAGAATTGTTGGGTTGCTCTTTCAACAGCGCTTACTAATGATCAGCACATATTTAATTAGCTCATGAAGGGTTTGAGTTAACTCTTGTTATGTTAATGCTAAAGAGTTGAATCACATCAACCAATCACATAAGAGGTGGATCACATCTAGGGCTGAACGATTAATCATTTTTTAATCGAAACTGCGATTTGAATGAGCCAATAGCCTGTAGGTTTTACAAAAGAAAAATCCACCCAATAAAACGAACGCGCAAACTTCCTTCTGATGACCAATCAGAAGCCGGTAATCATGCATATGCCCTGCCTGACAAAGAAGCACAACTATTAACAAGGAGCTTCGCACTAGATGTTAGGGAAAAGATGAGCACTTCATCTGAACAAGTGAGTGAGGCCCAAGGTCCGGTGGAAGAGCTGCTACCAAAGAAAAACAACACATCATGTGTGTGGGAGTATTTTGGTTTCAGGAAAACTGACATGCGTCAAAAACAGGTACTGTAACAGGAACATGTCGAGCATCTGTGCTAACCTCACGAGGCAACTCCACAAACCTCGATCAACATTTAAAGAAGAATCACAGACATCTGTCCAGCCATAAACCGCGACCTCAGTCACAATTTCCTAACGTGATGGCCAGGCAAACCTCCGTTCCACAGGCATTCGAAAGCATCACGCCATATGAAAAAAGCATGCGAAGGCACCATGAGATAACAGACGCTATTGCGAAGTACTTAGCGAAAGACGTGGTGCCGATTTACACAGTGTCTAAAGATGGCTTCCGAAACCTTCTCCAAACACTTGACAAAAGGCACCAGATTCCCTCTCGCACATACTTCAGTCAAGTCGATATTCCAGAACTTTATGCTTCGTGTAGGAACAAGGTTGAAACAGCTTAGAAATCTGGAGTATTACGCGACAACTACAGACATGTGGTTGAGCCGAACAACTGAACCTTACCAAAGCCTCACTATTCACTTCATAAGTGAAGATTTTGAATTAAAGAGTCGTTGTCTACAGATGTCATACTTTCCTCTTGACTATACGGGAGAGAACATCGCTACTGGAATGAAAGATGCTTTGGCCAGCTGGGGTCTGAATTAAGAGGGGCAAGTGTATGTTACCACAGATAACGCTTCCAACATGATAAAGGCAGTTGAAATAAACGAGTGGACCAGGCCACAGTGTTTTGGCCACAGACTCCATCTTGCGATCGGTAAGTGTCACATCAAATCACATTTATAAATCGCTCTCTCTCCCTCTGAGTAACACATTATTTAGATGAAATCATATTCTGGTTATACTAACTCGATCATTTTTTGGAGTAACAAACTGTATGCTATCTGGATTGTCATATGATTACAGAAATAATGTCACTGTACTTACATATAGTAGTTATTCAGTTACTTTACTGTGGATTACGTTTTTCATTAGGCAATGTCAAACAATCTCTCTATTAATTCTTAATTCACTGAGTATCCAAAACTTGTATGAAAGCTGTGTCACTTTGATAGTTACATGTGCTTTAGAGAGGAAGACAATGGAGGCATACTTAGGACTATTATGTTCAGATAATTATGAAATAGAGAAACCAAATAAGTTACATGAGTAGTTAGATAATATCAGATTAGATTACATTTTATTTTTATACGTTTTTATACATTGCTGATTACATTCTAGCAATGCTTGTAATAAATAAAGAGTAAGGCTAATTTGTTTTTCCTTAAATACTGTATTTCAGAAAATGCACTTAAAGATGACAGGGTAGACCGAGCAGTGGGTCTTTGTAAGAAGTTGGTTGGCCATTTTTCTGCCAGCTGGAAAAGCACTGACAGCAGCTCAGAAAGAGTTCAATCTTCCTGAACATTCACTCATTACAGAGTGTTCCCAAGGTGGGGAACCAAAGAGAAGGTGATTGAAAGGGTTCTGGAACAAAGTAAGGCCTCACTCACGTGCTGTCCGCTGACAAGAAAACACGCCACCTAGTGCTCACCTGGCAAGACACAGAGGTGCTAGTCAATTCACAAGGCACTGCATCCTCTTCAAGAATTTACTGATGCACTCTCAGGAGAAGAATATATCAGCATTTCATATCTGAAGCCAGTGCTCCACCTTCTAAAGACAAAAACACTTGCAGAGGATCCAGAGGACACAGACCTCACAAAGTCAATCGAGTCCAGAGTCATTGGCTACCTCCTGGAAAAATCCAATGATCCTGCCACCCAAGAACTGCTTGACATTGCATCATTCTTAGACCCCCGATTCAAGACTTACTATATAAGCCAGGAGAATATCCTTGCCATTAAAGCAAAAATGAAGACAGAGATGGAAGAAGGAGCAAGGAACGTAAATAGATGGTTAGGATTAGTATTAGTTTGTAGGAGATAATGCATTCTACATTAATAACATTACCAGTTACAATTATTGATCATAAAATATGCATTTTCTCAAAATTAAATCAAATTAGAAAAAACATACTCTTAATTATGAATGTCACATGAGAAGAGATCATGTGTCACAGAACCAGGGAGTTCAGCAGCCTTGCTTGAAAAGCCAAAGAGGTCGCTTGGCAGCTGAAAACTGAAGAATAGCCAGTCCCTAAAAGTTTGTTTAATGCTGTTAAAAGGAAAGGTGATGTAACACAGTGGTAAACATGTTCCTGTGCCAACATGTTTGGGAAATAAACTAATAAAGTTCATAAAGTAAAACACAAAATGTTTTTGTATCCTTTTTATTTTAATATAGGTAAAACAGAATTTATTTAGCGATTACACTGCTTTCTGTTTTTATTAGCATTTTACACACTATCCAGACTTTTTAGGAATTGAGTTTGTACAATTGGATTTGTGCTAGGATTTTAAAAAGATTTCTGGTTTGCTCTGATGTATGATGCTTGTAAGTGATATTTACAAGCACACATAACAGTAAAAAAGGTAGTATTTGTACAAGGACAGTGGAGAATGCTTACCATAAAGTTTATGTACAGAAAACCAAGCCTAAAAAAACAGTAGTAGCTCACAGAAGACTACACAGATGGTTAAGAGGCTTAGAAAATGTGTGTGTGTGTGTGTGTGTGTACTCTCAGTTCAACGAAGTTGCTCATTTCACACAGTTAAAAACAGCAAGGAGAAATTAAAAATGCACTACAGAACAAGGCTGGGATTTTGTGAGGATACGTGACATTGTGCACATTTAAGCATTCTAGATAGGCCTTACTTCATAGGAGTTAAAACAGCAATGGCTTGAAATGACAGCCGCCTTTGTTTAGCTGATCATAGCCAGTTGTGGGCTAGTTCGAATGTGCATATTTCTGTTTCTCTAGACAAACCACATGTATCAGTGGTGTCGTGCAGCTGCAAAGCACAAGTGGACATTGGTACCATAGAGCTGATTTAAACAGACATTGAGTTGGCAGTTTTTTAGGTACACCTACACTATCAAGTCGACAAGTATCCAAATACCTCTTCTAATTAATACAATTCTGATACTTCAAACACCAGAATACGCCAACAGAACAAACACAAACTAACACAAACATTCTAATGTTAGAAATTGTCCTCAGAATTTTCAGAAAAAGAACTCATAATTAAAGTGAACTAGAGTAAACAGAAAATTTACATTCTGGAGTATTACAACAATCAAACGAGGGTATGGCACACCAACCAAATGTATGTGTTTGTTCATGTTTATTCCTGTTTGTTCAATCAGTGTACTTTGGCTGTAATGGGTGTACTCAGCACCTATTGCTGACATGGACATTCAGCTGTGCATAAAGTTTGTAAAATCTCCATAGAAAAGCGTTGCTAAAAGAATGGGTTGCTCTGGAAGAGCCGCATATGGCATCCAAAGGCCACCAAGATTACCATGCTCATGGTTTCTGTGTGGCTGGAACATCTGAGACTGAGACTTGCTGACTTGGCACTAAGCATGGTGACCCATCGCACAACAAAATGACCACAACTGTCAGGATTTTGCCAGTTGCATTCTGATTGGCTATCTGCACATTCGTGTGTACTCACATCCATGCATTTGGACAGGAATGCTATGTTCACATGTATGTATAATGGCCATTTGCACACACACACACACACACACACACACAGAAAAACAAAACATATATATAAATACTACACATAAAAACAAAACTATATATATATGTATTTATTGTTATATTTGTACTGCTGTTATGTGTTGCACCATGGGGTCTGAAAAATGAGATGAAAAATTTTGTTCCATTTGTTTCATGTCATTGTATTGGGGAATGACACTAAAGGTCACTTGACTTGAGGAAAGTTTTGTTTTTCCTGGTAAATTCTAGTCAGCAATAGTGAACAGTTGCCTGCACTGGACACTGTGACAAAAAAAAAAAGAGAGTTCATGGTTTTATATAGAACCATTTTATGCTAGAACAAACAGATGTAATTGATGCAACCTAACCAAATACTATCATATAACAAGGATGACTTTTATCATGAGACTCACTGATATTAAGGAACAACTGGTGGTAATCTGAAATATGAACCATGTTCTTGCAAGTGTTCTCATACTGCCTCCAGAGCTTTTGTTTTCCTAAACGGAAAAATGGGTTATCTGTTTTTTTGATGCTCTGGTGTAGTTAGCCTTGACTTTTTTGTGACTGGACCTGAGATTGCACTCCAGCTAGCATATCATGTTGTTTGTTTGTCTTTGTTGAGGTTCCTTGGCAACCTCAGTTTACATTTTCTGGTGCCAACTCCCAGGGATTGCTCTCATTATGTCCAGCATTGGTCTGATTAACTGTAATTTCTCAATAATATATAAACAAGCCCTCTAGCTCACAACAAAAACCTTTCAGATTTACTTTCTTTATTTTCAACGGACAAGTAATTAATCTCTGCAATTCCAAGTAGAGTATCCAACTAGCCTGAAGATTTGTTTTGGATAAGTGCTTCCTTTTTTGTTGCTCTAGACATCATACCATAACATAGATGCACAACTGCAGCATTATACAGGGAGATTCACTCGAAAAAGGCCCCAAATATTCTGTAATAACTCTTGCTAGGACGAAACAATCTGAAACAACTCCTTGTATATGAAGCTTTGAACAAGCTGGGATGCCCCTGCGTCGGAGCGATGAGGTAGGCGCCGGACAGCCATTGCGATGTTTAACCTCTTTTTGCAACTTCGGGGTGCATACCCCCATACCCCTTTCACTCAGTCACTCGACTTCTCATCAGGATGGTTTGTACATAACTGAGCAGTGCATCAAGGTATGTAGCGTATTTTTTGGTCCAGGTTGCTTCATCCTTACGGGAGTTACAACAGAATATTCGAGGCCTCTTTTGAGTGAATCTCCCTGTATACAGATACAACTGTACACCAACAACACACACAAAGATCAAGTTACTTAACAACATACTTCACCAGTTAGCTTCAATCAACACAGACATTTACATAAATAACAACCAGCAACATGATAACATAATAATTATTTATTACTTTAAACATTTTACCTAGGTCATTTGGCACAAGCATTTAGGTTAACATTAGATGTTAGTGGGTGGAGTGTGATGGAGTGGCATTAGTTTAAATTACATTGTCATATTTATTCACTGAAAGAATTTTTTGTATGGGGGACGTTTTCAACTGGGGTTATGCTACTGATCCTTCACTTTTAGAGCTACACTAAAACTGAAGACGAAAAGAACACAGAAAATTAGGAGAAGGCTCAAGAGAGTGTAAGGCTACATTTCATCCAGGCACTGTGTTTTTGTAAATTCTTCTTGTTTGACTTTTTCAGTTGCATTAAGCACATACTGTACACAAACAACTCCTGATTAACCGCTCATCCACCTGTAAGGGATAAACGCTGCACCACTGCTGGTTTCACTGCTGACACCAGCTAAAAGGCTAATGTAGCTAATACATAATGGAAGCTCCTCATACTGTGTGAAGTAGCATGTCTAAATCATCACACTTGCCCCAAACCACAGTCAGTTGTTAAATAACCTCAAATAAATTTGCACTGTATGACATAAATTAGACAAAAGCACTGCCAAATTTCAGGCTAGTACTAGTACTGTTTTAACTATGCACTTTCGTTCATTGTAATAGGTAACAGTGTTCTATACAGTGTCTGTGACTGCTGCACCACTTAGTGGAAAGGCAAATTCAAATAAGAAGCTGGCAAATAAAAAGTCAACTTCAGCTTCACCTGGTAAGTAACAGTTTAAGAGCTGAGCAGGGCTTCTTAAAGCTTTGCTTGTTTCCAGATTATCTTCTGAAGTAAACCAGCGTAAGCACAGTTTGACAACCTTGCTGTATATCAAATTTATGTCAGGAAATGAATCCATTCACAGTAAGTAACTGGCTCTGTAGCACTCATCTGCACATTTCTTCCAATTTGTCTAGTCTTTTCCGAGTCTTTAGGCTCAAGTCTGAGACAAAGTCAGAGTCACTGGTGTTTGAATCAAAGTGGAGTGGCAAGTCTTTCTCGATTTTGTTGAATCAAGTCTCAAGTCATTACGTACACCTCTGAAAACCAGCATAGTTCAGCAGAAAAAACTGCATACCACCATTGTCTGACCAAAACCTTTCGTCTTCAAAGTGATTTTGTCCAGGGTGTGTTCTGCCTTCTGCCAAATGACTGCTGGGATAGGCTCCAGCTCCCCCCTGTGACCCAGGAGGATAAGTGGCATAGATTTTGTGTGTGTAAGTAAAATTTTGGAATTTCTTTAGCTCCAACTTTAATGAAATTTCTTTGCTTTCAAATTCAAAAATGAAAAATGACAAAAAAGAAGATACAAACCTTCCGACAGCAATAAAAACATGTTTTGGATGCTGGTATGCTAGCTAGCAGCAATAGAAGCTGTTATGCTGATCAACACCAAAACCAGCATATGGTGTGTTTTGGAAGCTGGTATGCTCATCATCCATGGATGACCAGCTACACCAGCAGCAAACCAACATGGACCACCATTGAAATTGTGCTGGTCTAAGCTTTTTTTTAAAGCAGGGTCACAGCTCCAGCTCAAAACTAAAGAAGAAAACTTCAGACAGCGCAAGTCTTAGCTAATTGACTACATGTAAAAATCAGTGCCTTAGGGAATGGAGAGGTCACTTCTAACACTTCATGATGTAAAATGTCTGCACAGTGACCTTTAACAGATATAAACCAGATCTATCTTGCTTCAGTTGGCACCACCAAACATGTTAGACAGTGTCAGGGTACTGTGGCACCTACTGTGGCTATCTAATCTACCAGTTTACCAGCTATGCCCTGCGCACCAGCCTCCTATGTTTTGGTTCCCTTGACCTCAATAATCCACACCCTCCCTCTGTTTTTCACCATTCACAAACTGGTACAGGATGCCTGCTGCATGACTGGTAGAAATTTTGAAGGCCAGCTTCCCTCACTCAAGCACATCATGATTTATAGTCTAAGATTAAGATGGATTTTCGGTAGAGAATCTCAATGACAATGAGATTAGCAATCTACATTTACACAGTATACCTGTTGTGTTTGTGCCCATGATAAGCACTGTAAAAATAATTACGATATAAACTCTTTAAAAACATAGTGAAAACAAGTTCTCCTCCATAGCCTTGAAGATAATACACATCTTCATTTATTTGTATTTGTTTGTCTAACTTGTTATTTTGCGTGCTAGTGAAGCAAACCTAATGTTTCATGATAAGCCATCTGAATCCTATTGGACACATTTTGTGGAACAAAACTGTAATTGCAAATACATTTATATTTTACTTAAGGACCTGTAAATGGCAAAAGTCAGTTTTGATTATAGAAACATTGATTCACTAACATACATGTGTGTTACTTGAGATTTGAAACTTTAATGTGTTAAAAAATGTATTGTTGAGGTCAATTATGGAGTTTATGGATCCCAATGCTCAGAGAGAAAGAAATGATTCAGCATAGACATTCCTTATACACTACTGTTCAAGGTTTTAATCACTTGTCATATTAATAATGTATATTTATATACAGTAATACCTTTAAAGTTTAGATTTAAACATAAACTAGATATTTTGAATGAATTTTAAACAAAAAGGAATTTAATTTAATTTGATTTAATTAATTGTATTCAATATTTCAAGTATTTGGGGAAAAATACTTTAAATTATTTAAATATAATATACATTATAGACATATACTTATCTATTTATAGAATTGCAAAGTTTTATACCATTGTAGTTATCTATCTCAATTTATTTTTTCTCGATTTAATTACCACTTTAAAATATAAGCATTCCGGGTCTTTTTTAGTACCTTAATTATTGGTGCTGATTTTTATGTAGTCATCTACAACTGTATTCATAATTTCTGGACAGTTTTATAATTTTTCTTAAAAACATTCTTGTAGTTTTCTATTTAGACGTGCTGTTGCAAAATCTGTTTAAACTTTTTTAGTATTAATTGCATTGTGTTTGTTTCCTACTAATTCATGTTTGTTCAGTTGTTCTGCTGTCACAGCTGCCAACTGAAAAGCTTGCTTGGGGCAACAACAGGTTCAGAATTTGCTTCACTCTTCTTCAGAAACAAGCTGGAGGTCAAATATCTTATAGAAGTTAACTAATGTATCCAACACTTTTACATCTTGAAGCAGATTGTGTTTGTGTCTGTCTATCTATCTTTCTATGTATCTATCTATCTATCTATCTATCTATCTATCTATACATACACAAACACACACATACACAAATGCACACACATAAAAAGCAAGAAAAAGCATTGCCGTTGTCTTGATTTTTATCAGTGAAAACACTTCTGACCAATCAGTGGTTCTAAACCAATGGTGATTCCAAACTTTTGCATGGTAGTGAACACGCATAATGTTTTCTTGTAACTCATTATACATTTATTTACTAGAACCTATTCACATGACTATGGTTGTATTAAATGTATACTTCAGGCCTACATGTAAAATTGTATATAAATCTTTATTAATGGAATAAAAGAATGAATATAGTGAACTATTTAAAAAAAATACAAACTTTGGCAAGACTTTACAGGATTTTGATATTAATGAACAAGCATGTTAGAAACCAAAGCCAATATACATTTTGTAACATACTACTTAATCAGAAATAAACCAGGGACATTGCTACCTGGCTTACCGATTTAAAAAACAAAAATATGACAAACCAGGATTTAGAGTTTCAAAATTGAGAACTGTAAAAAATTATTATTTAACAAATGGATGCGGTGTTCTATAATATTAAGGCACTTAAAAACTCAATCATATTTTACCTCACATTTTAGAGAACACAGGGATCAAGTATTGAATAATATTGTCTACATGTAAAACTGTTTGAAGAATGAAACAGTTTTACATGTAGACAATATAATTCACTGTCAGAAAAAAAACAATTGCCATTTAAGCATTTTCATATTTTTCAAGTCAATTTTAGTCAGTGAAAACAAATAAATAATTATTTACAATCTCAATCTACTGCAAGCAAAAATCTAGATGTAAACCAACTGTCTTGTAAGAGTCACAAATAATTTACAAAAGAAATTATAATACAGTCTTAATATAAACATCTTCATTCCAAAATGTTTTGATAAAAATAGCCCCTTGTTAGAATATGGGTGCTGTAAAAAGTAAAGAAATAAATGAATAAAAAGTCCAACTGATCACAAAAAAGCCTAACAATGAAACAGAAAACAACAACAAAAAATAAAATAAAAAGCATTGTGCAAGTAAAACAGTTTGGTGATGAATAGTTCAGTAAATATAACATAAATGAATTATTTTGGTAACGTAAAAATGGACAAAGGAAATACAGCACTCCTTCTTCGGCTCCATAACTTTTACCCTTAAAAGGAGGATCTACTGAATATTACTTTCAAACTGTGTTTACTTTTTTGAAGAATGAATAAAGTGGTTGTACAAACAAACCATATAAGTAAATTTTTGCTTCACTGTGGGTCATAACCTGCCTTTTTCCATCACTTCCATGCACATAACGGAAACGGTAGAGGTTCCATCTAGTTGATGGGTGTCCCAGATTACTATAGTCAAAATTGGTTGGTAAGCAGGAAAAGTGTGTTTCTTTGTGTGACAGTCCCTTATATGCCCCATGCCTTATCTTGTTCAGTTATCTAGGGAGAGAAAGAATTTATTATTTAGATAATACTCAGCAACCACAGTCAATCCAGATGTTCCTTTTCCATCCTTTTATCAAAAACATGTAACTATAGCCGGTGGTGGGCAAGAACTGCGTTTTTTTCCCTGATTTTTACCCTATTTTTCTCATTAGTTTTGCTATGGCCAATTCGCACATGCTGATTAGGTCTTAATGAGTCTTGTAAGCTAGACTTCTGCCTATCATCAGAGAGTCAGGTATGTTTTTCTGCTTAGCGTGGCCAAGAACTGCCTACTTTGACAAAAGTGGACTATTTGATTGACACACAAAACAACCAAATCGCTGTTTTGGCCTAATGTGTACAGGCAGGTGAAGCGGGGGGTACAAGAAAAACAAATCAGGAAATACAACGATTGGTATGTGTTGGCAAACGTGTGAAAATATCTCGCTTAAATGCCTCTAAATGCTTCAAAGAAAACTGGAATAATGATTTTAAAGATGTGATACCATAAAGCTCAAACAAAAATATTAAATATTTTATGAGAATTGGAAATGGCTATTCATGGGTGGATAACATAACATTGCAGTTGATTATATATGGGACAAATAATAATGCAGTGATTGTGCTATAATGGTATTCAAAAAAGGCCAATGGTATACATAAAAGAAGGCTGACTTGAAGTGTAGATCTGGTTATATTAGGCAAGATGTCATTTTTCTCCTATTATGTATTATACACATATCAGATGTTAAAAGTGAAACATTTCATCATTTCATGAAAAATATTAAGTCTGTAAACATCTGGGAAATGAGGAGACCAGTTGCTGGAGTTTTGAGAGAGGAATGTTGTTCCATTCTTGTCTGATGTAGGATTCTAGCTGCTCAACAGTGCTGGGTCTTCTTTGCCGGATTTTTCGTTTCATGATGCGCCAAATGTTTTCTATTGCTGAAAGGTCTGAACTGCAGGCAGGCCAGTTCAGCACCTGGACTCTTCTTCTGCGAAGACTTCCTGTTGTGATGGATGCAGTATGTGGTTTAGCATTGTCTTGCTGAAATATGCAAAGCCTTCCCTGAAAGAGACATTGTCTGGATGGGAGCATACGTTGTTCTAAAACCTCTATATACTGTTCAGAATTGATAGTGCCTTTCCAGATGTGTAAGCTGCCCATGTCATAAGCACTAATGCAACCCCATCCCATCAGAGATACAGGCTTTTGAACTGTGTGCTGATAAAAAGCTGGATGATCCCTCTCCTCTCGAGTCTGCAGAACATGGCGTCCATGGTTTCCAAAAAGAATGTCGAATTTTGATTCATCTGACCACAGAACAGTTTTCCATTTTGTCTCAGTCCATTTTGAATGAGCTTTGGCCCAGAGAAGACAGCGGCGTTTCTGGATCTTGTTGACAAATGGCTTCTTCTTTACATGATATAGCTTTAACTTGTATGTGTGGATTGCACAGTGAACTGTGTTCACAGACAATGATTTCTTGAAGTGTTCCTTAGTCCATGCAGCAATTTCCAGTACAGAATTGTGCCTATTTTTTAATGCAGTGCCACCCGAGGGCCCAAAGTTCTAATATGGACCGTCAGCCTTGTCCCTTGTGTACAGGGATTTCTCCTGATTCTCAGAATCTTTTGATGATATTATGTACTATAAATGGTGGGATGTCCAAAGTCTCTGCAATTTTAGGTTGAGGAATATTTTTCTGAAATTGTTTCACAATTTTTAGAGTTTTTTGCAGATTGGTGAACCTCTTCCCATCTTTGCTTCTGAGAGACTCTGCTTCTCTAAAATGCTCTTTTTATTTGAGATGCGTTGCTGCCATCAAGTTCTAAATAGTTAATGTTTTTCATGAAATGTCTCACGTCAACATCTGATATGTGTTCTATGTTCTATTGTGAATAAAATATGGACCTATTAGATTTGAAAAGCATTGCATTTTTATTTTATTTACATTTACTTGCATTTTACACAGTGTCCTGATTTTTTTGGAATTGGGATTATATTTGCTACACCTGTTAACGTTTTTAATATGGCATGGATGAATCATAGTAATTAGTGCCTTGAATTATTTAATGACAAATTCTGAATGCCACCGTTTCTTATACTTTCTGGCATTCACCCACAATGTGCAAGCATGTTAAATTTATCAGTGTAATTTTAATTGATTTGTACTACTACTTAAGTTCATTTCGCTGTACAATATTGTTACTTATACGATATTAGGTCACTCTACCCACCTCTGACCACAGCCAGAATAAAAAAAAATCTATTACAGAGTAAACTTCATCCAAAAGGCTTTATATTTGTATTGCAAGTGTCCGGGTGTTGGCACTACAAAGGCATCATTCATTAAAAAAAAACAAAAAACAAAACAACAACAACTGAAGCTGCCTTAAAACCATACACCCAATGATGACTGAACCAAAGTTCCGCATCATCATTAGCAAGCAAGAGCGTGACCTAGTTCAGCAGCAAACCCCAGAGAACCAAAGCCACTTTTACCTCATAAACATAGTGGGAAACTCCAGGCCATCTGCACGATGAACAGGAAAAAGGTTCAAACATTTAAGAAGCCCTTATTATTTATCCTCAGTTTTTTTCATTTATTAATTCTTGTTAGTATACAACAAGTCTAGACTTCATGGGTTAAGCTTGTCAAGCTAGTCTTGACTTTCAATCCTCATTTCCCCAATGTGTTCTTACCCTAAATCCATCCATCCATTTGTGTGGTCATGAGGTCAGTGTTAACAAACTGATTTGTAAGTACTTAACTCAGTGCTGCCTGAATTGGTCTATCCATGCTCTGCCCACAAATACATTTGTTTGTAGCAACAGTTGTAAAGTTGGACAAACTTTACAGAACAGTGGCAAAAAAACATTAAACCTAAAGAGAAATTTTAGTGCTAAACTACATTAGTAGTCTATTAAAATTTAAATTATATTTATTTTATATTTTTGTGAAAGGTAAAAATTGATCTGATGTTTTTTTTATGATGTGCAACTGAGCTGTGCTAACATGGAAGTAAATTTGTTGTTTTCTTCCTGGCTAGTGTTCACAACAACTCAAGGGTATGACGTAATTCTAAACATACAATGACGTAATTCTAAACAAACAACAAAAAATGAAACATTAATCCTGGGTTAAAATTGTACAGGTTTTGAGTTGTGTGCTACAATTTTTTCTTCATTATCTATTAGGCTGAATGGAAATATTTTCCAACATTGTAAATCTACTCCAACCTTGTAACAGTACTTACAACTCAGAACATATATAGGTCAACTTTAACCTAAAATTAAACCAAAAATATAGCTTCACATTATCCTTTTACTCACCTCGACATTCATATTTAAGGTCAGAGAAGAACACCAGTTCCTGTGAAAAGACAAACAACCCTAATCGTCCACCTGCGAATGTCTTGTCATAGATTGGCCCTGAGTCTGCCATGATCTGTTTTCCCTCATACACAACCACTCTGGGAAAAAATGAGTTTATATATTTAGCATGTATCTACTGCAGTTTAAACATATTTGATATGTTGTGTTTTTGGTGTTTTGTTGTTCACCTTATGAACCCAGTTTTGGGTCTGTGAATAAGATGCCACCTGTACGCAGTGTAGTCCTTCCAGCCAATATTCTTAGGGTCATGCCACAGAGTGCGAACCTGTAAAAAAAGAAATTAGCATGCACAATAAGAGATGGCATCCTACAACAATTAACTGGACCTCTTGTTGAATTGCTACTGTAATGTCCTAGTTGGATTCACCTTGGTACTGGCTGAGTTCATATTGATATGTGTTTTCAAATCAAGTGTATTGATTAGTAGTATTGCTCACCTGACCAGGAGTGTTTCCTGTGTGCCAGAGGGCATTGCGTAGGCTCTCACCAGTGCCTGTGGTGGAGTTGACCACTTTCAAGGAGACCCCTGAGATCCCAAAGGCCTTGGAAGGCTTCTCTTCCCAGTATGTTTGAGTGATCTGCTTCCACATCACCACATAAAAGCGCCCACTTGACTGGTAGCCAAACACAAAACCAGCGTAATCGTCATCTCGGTCAGTATTTACATAGAAGGTGCCACTGAAGTCCACAGCGTTAAACTCGTCAAAGCCTGGAGAAGAAACCCCAGAATTTGAAGATACCAAACCAAGCCAACACCAACTGATGCATTTCAGAATGGCACGTTAAGGGCTTTCAAACTCACCTACTGCAATGCCAGGGTCAGAGTTAGCAGTCTGAACTAACTCTTTGCCCTGATGCCTGACTACCCAGTTGGGATCAATTTGTGTGGTCCCCTTGGGATCCAAATGCACCATCTGGAATTTTCTGAAGTCAGTTATACTAATGGCATTGTTCTCTGGGCACACATCCAAGATGTCTGGGATGCTATCATTGTCGAAATCATCTTTGCAGGCGTCACCTCGACCGTCGCCTGAGAATAAAGACAGTTGCGTTTTATGACAAATCAGTCATTATTTCTAAATTCATTAAGAACATTTACAGCATGTTTGTCAAAGCCAAACCAAAACTTCAGGGACCAACTAGAGCAGCTAAAAAATAACTGCACATATCTTTAAAAAATTTGTTATAATTCAGGAGTTTGACTTTTAAAGACAACAGTAGGAAGATATATATATTGATATATTACTTATAAATCCAAACTACTTTGCTCCTAAATTTTCTCTAATATAAATAATGTTTTCCAGCTTACACTAATGACACACAGCTACAGGTATTATAATTTTCAGCTTTCAAGCCAAAAGCAAATAAATGGACCTTAAATCGACATAAGTAACTTTTCATTAAAGCATAAAAAAATGAAAAAAATCCACATAGCAACCAAGCTCTGCTACTTAACTGCAGCCAAGAACAATAAGTAATCTCAGCCATTATTTCATGCCATGAAAACCTCCACCAATATATGTTACCATCTTAAAATATAAAGTCTATCAAAACCAGACCTCAGTGCTAAAATGGAGGGAAAACAACCAGCCAGTCAGCGCTGCTAAGGAGTTTTTAGTGAAGAGGTAGGTTCTTTTCTTTTAGCACTTTGTTTTTACACAGGGGCCTGACTTGACTAGGAGAATCTGGCAACCCTGTGCCTGTTTGCAGTTACACCCAACAAAACACACTCCAGAATGACCCTTGTGAAATTAGGCACAACAGAGAAATCAAGAGCAATATTACGGTCCTAGCTAATCAGAACTGATCTGACCAAGAGAAAGGGGAAATGGATCTGACCAGTGCTGCCCTCATGTGACAATGACATCAGCCTTAATCTCTGCTAGCTCATTAACTCCGTCCTGATATGACTAAAATTGAAAATGTGTTTATCTGAAAATTTGGGAAAGGCACAAAAGATTGATTGATAAGAAGTGCCTTGCATTTGGCTCTGTAACAGTTACGTGGTACATGGTTGTAGGATTCACGTTTTTAGCCCTGTGTATGATTATCAGAATGCCTAACAAGAGCTTGTTGCCATCACTACAAGCTAAGAGTCCATCAGAGACCATAAGGAATATTAATTTCAATCTATAGTGAAATCAACAAACTTTTTCTACAATTATTTGACATTTTTGTTAATTTTTTGTGTCATTTTTGATAAAGAAAATGCCTACTTTGCAAAAAACTACTAATGCTGCGAACAGTAAAGGAAAGCTGTTAGCATTACATCAATTAGTTAATGTTTTCCCACTGTTATATACAGTCCCCTCCATAATTATTGGCAAGCCTGGTAAAGAAAAGGTAAAGGGTTATAGTAAATTCACCTTTTAGTGAATTAGCTTTATCTCACACTGAAAACATGCAAAAAATCCAAACTTTAATTAAAGTAAATGTATTCTATTTTAAGTAAAAAAAAAATCCCTAATCATTATTTTTAACAAAATAATCATTTTTAACAAAACCACATGTGCCACAATTACTGGCACCCCTATACATTTTTAGAATGTAAAATGTAACAAGCATTTTTTCCATTTATATATTTTACTTTTTAAGGTGATCAATGTGTCTAGGAACTTTCAAGCAGTAATCCATCACTTCCTGTTTTACTGGGGTACATATAAAGTTACACTGGTCAAATTCCCTTAGTCATTCTTCAACATGGGAAGACAAGAACACATAATTCAAATAAAGGAAAAGTATGACCTTAGTAAATCAGGAGATGGCTATAAAAATAGCTACTCACCTAAATATGCCCATCACTATTGGAGAGTTATAGAAATAATGAGCATCTTGGAGTCACCAATTCTCCATTCTTCATCAGATGCCACCCCCATGCCAACAAATTATTTGGAAGGCAAGCCAGGATAAAGCATTTACTGTCCTCTAACCACAAATGTAAGCACTGGGTTAAACTCTACTGGGACATTGACTGAAACCGTGTTCTACGGTCAGATGAAATGAAAATTGAGCTTTTTGGTAACAAACACTCCAGGTGGGTTTGGCGTAAAAAGACAGATGACTACACTGAAAAGAACCTGATGCCCACTGTTGGATGGGGTCTGTAATATTATGAATCTGTTTTTCCTCCAATGGCCCTGGGAATCTTGTTAGGGTACATGGCGTCATGGACATGAAATACCACTATATTTTAAATCAAAATCTGTCAGCCTCTGCAAAGAAACTAAAAATGGCTCGGCACCGGATCTTCCAGCAGGACAATGATCCAAAACATATGTACAGATCAACACAAAAATTGTTCACTAAACACAAAATCAAGCTTCTGCCAAGGCCATCTCAGTCACCTGATCTAATCTCCATATAAAATCTGTGGTCTGAGCTAAAAAGGAGAGAGTACAAGAGAGGACCTAGGACTCTGGACAATCTGGAGAGAAAAACTAGTAGTACTACAAACAATGAATGAAAACATAGCATTAAGCAAATCATGCCAATCCATTGTTACGTGCAATTAGACTTTTTTTTTAAGTAAATCAGTAATTCTTTTTGACAATTAATGAAAACTGTTAGCAACCAGATAGCATTATGCTAATTAAATCATTTTAATCAATCAGTCTCTCTTTGTTAGCTACAGTTAATTTTTAAGTTAATCAAGAATTCTTTTGGACATTTTTTTAAAGGAAAAGCCTACTTTGTACAATCTAAACAGCATTTGAGATATACCTAAAGGTAGAGTAAACAAAGATTATTTTAAAAGGCGCATGTAAGTCTCTATAACAGTTTCACTCACCGTCTGAGTCTACTTGGTCTTTGTTCGGCACCAGTCTGCAGTTGTCTTTGTCATCAGGAATTCCATCATTATCATCGTCAGAGTCACAAACATCTCCTTTCCCATCCTTGTCGTGATCGGCCTGGTTGGCATTAGGAATGTAAGGGCAGTTGTCCAGGTTGTTCTGATGGCCGTCCTCATCAATGTCCTGATTGTTGTCACACTGATCTCCAACCAGGTCATTATCTGTGTCTGTCTGTGGAGCAATAACAAACATCTCAGCTAGACTGCTCATATTTTGGATTTTTGGATAATTGGATAAGGACTAAACCCTAGTTTTGGACAAAACTGCAGTGTCAATGGTGTTTTAAAATTTAAAAAAATTCTCTTAGCCCAGGCTTAGGCTTAATCTAATAATGGGAAACTGGCAACTATTCTGCACAGTTGTATGCATATCCATATCATCACTATCAAGACAAAACCTTCAATGGTAACTTTACAGGGGAACAAATAAAAGGTTCTTAACTTTGAATGGAAGTTAATGTAAGAAGTTTTTTCAAAGTCATTCTGGAGCAATTCTCTTGCTCCATTCTCCATTAAATATTAACTAGCTGAAAAGGGCAGCTGGCTGTTTCAAACAAACAAACAAAAAAAAAAAATTGAGATATACGGTTTAGTTTAAACAGCAACAATATGCTTGCATAGGCATGTATCTGTTGGCTTGCATGTAGCTTTCAAGAGCTAGCATCTCTGGTACCTGATCAGGATTATGAAGCAGAGGGCAGTTATCACACTGGTCTCCTACTCCATCCATGTCAGTGTCCTTCTGGTCATTGTTGTACACATACGGGCAGTTGTCATGTTCATTTAGGACCCCTGAAACACAATCAAAGGCCTTTCCTTAAAGGGCATTATATAATTCAGCTTGCCTCAGAGGATATGTTATACTGTCACTACTAGGTGTATGCCTGGGTACCCAGTAAACCATTCCTGGTGTCATTATTTGAATACTGAAAGCACTAATCTGGCATTCTTTCTTCTGCATCAGCGAAAGTCAGGGAGAAAATATACTTATCAACAGTTCAGCCAAACAGTGTTAAATTAAGTGCAGTACAGTGTGACTGTTTTGGTTGTGTTTAAGTATATCATACTTTACTGTTGCAGAACATGAGTGCCTAAATGTGAGACACTATTGACTGGTCTAACTACTCTAGCTGCCATTAGCTTAAAACAAGGAACAATGAAAAGATATTTCTTTACTGTCAGTGCTCAACAAAATATCATGTTAGCTCACCATCTACTGAGGAGAAAAGTCTTAGGGAAGATCATCACATCTACTGCTGCACTGATTGTCTCTAAAGGCCAGAGTGCACCGACAGCACAAACACGAACAAATATGAACAAAAAAATTTTGTTCATGTGGCTGAATTTTTTCAGCTGCTAGCACCAGTGTACATTAATATCAAGTAAAAAGCCATTTGTAGTTACTAGTCAATCAGCCTTACACTTCTGTTGAGTTTCTCTGTATCAGTTAAAAATAGTTCTATAAACATAGTGTTGAACAACTGTGTCTGAAAACACCTGGCAAATAGAGTACTTTTGGCAGATGAACATCTAAATTCAACGGTTCATATGTTAAGGACAGTATCAATTAATGATAAACGATTATTTTCCTATCAGTTCAAAGACAACAAGTTGTAAACATTGTGGGGATCACTCTACTAGGTAAATTACAAATTAAATCTGTCCAAACAAATGTTTTAAAAGGAAGCAACGACTCTAATTAAGACATTGAAAATGAAATGTCAAAAGCACTTTACTTTTCCATATTAACTTTAACAGCCATTATATAGAGAAATGCACATTTAGCTTTTGAATTTGAATTTGAATTATTTTAATGTGCACTCACATTGTAAATGCAACTGTAAATACACAATTGAATTGGCATTTTCAAATTTGGAGTTGAATTTGAATAAAGTCCAAAATCCTCAGAACAAGAAAACAAGATAAGTGTGATTTCTAAATTGCACTTGAATTTTAAAGACAGTTTCAAACCATACCATCTCCATCAATATCCACAGAGCAGGCATCTCCTTCCCCATTGTTATCCGTATCAATCTGAGCTGGATTGTGTTCATATGGGCAATTATCACAGCGATCACCTACATCATCTTTATCATAATCAAACTGCCTTGGGTTAAAAAGCAGTGGGCAGTTGTCCTGTTGAGAAGAAGAAATTGTGATAATTGCATGATTGACAATTATCAACAATTAAAAATTATTTATGAACAGATTTAGTAAGATGGGGGATATTAAAGAACAGTGAAGACTCAATGTAATGCCATAAAATGTGTATTTATTCCAGCAAAGGTGTTTCATGTTTAGATGAAAGTGCATGCTCTGTAGAACCATTCTAACCAGTCATTGAAGCTTTTAGAAGCTTTTAGTGTAAGTTTTGAGATTTGGAATGGTTCCACAGAGCCTGCACTTTAAAGATCTAAACATTAAATTTCAGAGACTTTAAGATAATTTACTCTCTCATCAATTATTCCATCGTTGTCATCATCCTTGTCACAGGCGTCTCCTTGACCATCCTTGTCAAAGTCCTCCTGACCAGAGTTAGGTAGGTTGGGGCAGTTGTCCTAAATGAAAGAGAACAAACCTTCTATTTCTAGACTTATGCAGAGGGAAAAATGCTTGTTCATTTTTTCTTATTAAGTAACAAAGCCAAAAATTCAGACATAGAGCCTATGAGAAGGGGCAACAATCTCTAGTGAATGAAGTGAATTCATCCATATGGTGTCAGCATACCTTCTTGCAGTGGTAGGTGGCATTGGCTCTACACACCAAGTTCTGGTTGGGCCAACCATCCAGATCGGAGTCTTCTCCACAGATGAAGCCATCGCCAGCATAGCCAATCTTACACTCACATTTATACATGGGGTCACTGAAGTGGCCGAGGTAGATGCACTCAGCAAACCTGTGGCAGTTATGGGTTTTGTCCTTGCAAGGGTTTTCTGGTTCGCACACCTGCAGAATAGAGATTGAAGAAACTGAAGACTTTCCTGTTTGGTTTGCTATTATCAGAGCATACTGACAGTAAAGAACCTATGCCACAGACATTATAAAGGAGGAGAAGGCCGTTCACTGGTTAACAAGATAGCCAGTAATGCTCAACATGGCATCTGTTCACAGGGAATGTCCCACCTTTCAATACAAACAGCCATGTTTTGTGCATAATTTTATCCAAAAACTACAAACTATTTGTGATTTTGTCAGACTTAACCAGTAATTGCAAATATGTTTCTGAAATCTTAATGTGACTTTGGTTTCAGTTGTATAAGCCTCTATTCAAAGAGATAGGAGCCTAATCTTGTATGAGTGGAAATTACTGCCCTAGGGTGTTGCTAAGACGGCCACCAAATGGTCAGACTTTCCTAAGGACTTTGCCTGTGTTAGCTGAGTGATTGCTAAACTTGATCTAGCAAAATCCTTATGTATGTTGAAAATGTAAAAAGCCCTTTAAGTTATAGGAAATATCATTCTAAGCTCACCTATTCCAAACATCTGTTTCTATTCACTAATGATACAGCCTTATGGACAAGCTAAACTGACTAGTGGCTAAGTGCAATGCTGTGGCCTTCACTGGCCAGATTAAACTGCAAAAGTTTAAGACAACATCTACTGTGTATTCCCACTGACTTGTATGTTTGTGTTGGGCAGCTGCCGTGGAACTGTTTCAGCCATTAAAAACCAGCATGTAGCTCGTCCAATTCAAAAGATCACAAAGCACAATTAGACAGGTTTATCTAAAGAGAGTCCCTTTCATCTCAGCTGTGAAATCTGGCAAAATCGTGCCAGCTATGAGTGAACTGTTTTCATCAGTTCCTGGTCAATTTGCAACTCTGTGGCATTGGATCAAAGCTTTGGAAGCCTGGAGGTCGACAAAGTGATTTAACAGGGATATTCTGCAACATTTTGGCAGAGCCGACAGCGTGTCAACTTTCCAAGAACTCTATATTATCGATATTATATATAATATAATATCAGTGGATAAAAGGGAGCTGGAAGGGCACCACAAACAGATGCCATGGCAGCTGTGTCGGAATCATGATTCAGTCTTTTTAGGCTAATAACACAGACTGCAGAACAAAAGAAACTGGAAAAGGAAACGTGGCAGATTGTCTCAAGATGCTGAAAGGTACCCGTATCCTTGACAATGGAGGCAGACCATTATACTGACTGTTTGGTGCCTCTGATATCTTTTGCGCTGAATTAGAGCTTGAAAAGGTTACAGTGCAGTAGTAGTTTGTTAATGAAAGAAAAGGAACTGAAAAGGAAATGTGGCAGATGGTGCTTACAGTGCTGATTTATTGATGGATTTCAAAAGTAGAAAGTGGATCTATAGCAAAACCATAAGAAAGAACATGATATACAGTACTGTGCAAAAATCAGAGACCATCCTTCATCTGTATAGTCTTCAGCCAAAATTGCCATTAAGAGCAAGTTACTAATATTTCAGTATCAAGAAAAATATATTTCTATAATATATTTGTCATATATTTAACAGAATATTACACAGAGGCCTCAAAAACTAAATAAATCATAAAATATTTTAGTATTTAGTGTGTTCTTCCTTTCCCTTTCTTTTCAGCAAATTGCTGTTAGTTTATCAAAACAAATTTGCATAAATACTTTCCCACACCTTCAAAGTTCTGTTTTGCAGTCTGTTGCATTTTCTCCTTCTTATGATCCAAGTAACATTTTGTTGCTGGAGTCTGTTCGAAGAACACCAGCAGCTTATTTGTTTGTTTATGTTTATTGTTTTGTTATTTTGTTTCTCCGACTTCCTGTTTTTCAGTGAGGACTTCTTGACAGCTACATATCCTTTCAGTTCCATAGTGTTGAGTTCTTCTCACAGTGGAAGGATGGACAGAAACACTTGTGGGGTTTTTCAAATCTGAAGCAAGACTAGAGCTGGATTATCTCACTATTCTTTTCTCTCCCAAAAGAAGGAAGCCTTAAGTTCTGTTTATCTGATGGTGACAGTCTGGGTTGTCCACCAGGTCTTGCACAGTCATTAGGAATTCTGTTTTCTCTAGGCCTTTTAATCATTTTTAAACCCCATTTATTCACTTTTTTTCCTTTGTCTTTCCCTCTTCATTATGCAAGTGGATTATCTCAAATCTCCTCATAATTGTTTTTCTGTGAGTATTGCAAGGTGATTTGCAATATGTAACAATATAATCACTATACTAGTGTTTTGTCTGTGTGGTGCAGCCTACTGCCCAGTGCAGACCATTGACTACTTAAGCACAATCACAAAATATATGGACTAAGTTTCCACTGTAAACATTTCACTTTCAAAGCTACAGCAATTGGTCTCCTCAGTTCCCAAATGCTTATAGTGTTCCTAAATGCTTACAGTGTTGTTGACACAGTTAGAAGAAGAGTTACTAGTGGTGTGTGTGTTTGTGTGTGTAGGGGGGACAGGAAAGTTGGAACATGACTGAAATGCACTTAATGGCTAGTGCCAAAAGATACATGATCTAGATTGTTTGTGTGTGTGTGATTCACAGTCAAGGCATGTTGCATTCACATGGTACTGCACTCTCTGACACACTCTCATTCACACATATACACAAGAGCTAAATAACTCAGCACACACTCTTCCACACACATAAATATGGTAACCTGACATGCCAAAGACTTTCTGTAAAGCTAAACACAGTTGTTTTTTCACGTCTCATTCTCACATCTACAACCCTGTTTCCAAAAAAAGTGGGGACGCTTAATGTAAATAAAATGTAAATAAAAAATAGAACGCAATGATATGAAAATCATGCAAACCCTATATTTAATTGAAATTAATACAAAGACAGCATATCAAATGTTGAAACTGGGAAACTATTGGTTTTGAAAAATATATGTCCCATTTTGAACTCAATCCCAGCAAAAAAAAAAGTTGGGACAGGGCATGTTTACCACCTTTAATTAGTTTACATTACGTCTTCTTTTAACAACACTCTGTAAGCTTGTGGGAACTGAGGAGACCAATTGCTGTAGCTTTGAAAGTGAAATGTTTTCCCATTCTTTCTTGAAGTAGGATTTCAGCTGCTCAACAGTTCAGAGAAATTAATACAAAGACAGCATTTTATTTTATAATGTGCCAAATGTTTTCAGTGGTTGATAGGTGTGGACTGCAGGTAGGCCAGTTTATCACCCGGACTCATTTACTATAGAGCCACGCTGTTGTAATAGATGCAGAACGTGGTTTGATGTTGTCTTGCAGACATAAGCAAAGCTTTCCCTGAAAAAGACGTCTGGATGGCACAGACAGTGGTTTTCCGAAGTGTTCTTTAGCCCATGCAGTGATTTCCACTATAGAAACGTGTCTGTTTTTAATGTAGTGCTGCCTGAGGGCCCAAGATCACGGCCTTCCAAAACTGTTTTTGGACCTTGGCCTTGGCATACAGAGATTTCACTGGATTTTCTGAATCTTTTAATGATATTATGTACCATAGATACCATTTGATATGTTGTCTCTGTGCTACTTTCAATTAAATATAGGCTTCAAATGATCTCTGCATTCTGTTTTAATTTACATTTTGCACAGCATTCCAAGTTTTCTGAAAATGGGGTTGTAGAATCAACAGTAAGAACATCATTTCAAGCACATTTTAATGTTGTATGTCAATTATTCCATTAAACAGTTAATGCAAACCATGACTTTTAGAGCTAGGCCTTGAGATTTTTATCTCTTTAGCTTCATATACCAAACCTGAAGTACAAAACCTGGGTATAATCTTAGACTCCGAGCTCTGTTTTATCCCACATAGAAACATACTCACAAAAGTAGCTTTTAATCATTTGAGAAATATTGCTACAGTTCGGCCTTTTCTATCTCAGGGTGACGCAGAGAAACTTATTCATGCATTTGTTGCAAGCAGAGTTGATTATTGTAGTGCTCTTCTTAGTGGGCTCCCTAAGAAAATAATACTCTACAACTCATACAAAATGCAGCAGTACAGATTCTAACAAAGAACAAAAAAAAAGCTCATATCACTCCTGTTTCGAAAGAACTGCATTGGCTACTTGTGTCTTTCAGTATAGATTTTTAAGTTCTGCTACTAGTTTTTAAGCCTCTAAGTGGCCTAGCACCTGTTTACATTGCAGAATATCTGTTTGCTTATGTTCCAGCATGTGATCTAAGATCTGTAGATACTGGCCCTCTGCAAATACCTTCCATAAAATACAGAAAAGTTGGAGAGGCCTCTTTCAGTTATTATGCTTCTAAATTCCACCTTTTATCAGACAGTTAACCTCAGAGCTAAGCTTTTACAAAACATTTGAAAACACATCTCTTTAACTCAGCATTTAATTAAAACTCTATGTCTCTTGGTAGTCTTATTTTTAATTTGATCTGTGTCACTGTCTTACATGATTTTAAATTTGCCATTTTAACCAATGTTTCTCACCATAACTTAAAATTAAAATCAGAGTATTACTACAAAACTTGCAGAGTTTAGCCACAAGTATGACGCTTAGCAGACAACTTATGATTAAATTGCATTCAACTGCATGCTTTAAATGTCTATTATAATCACTTTGACTTCTCCTTTACCCTAAATACACTGATCAGGCATAACATTATGACCTCCTTGTTTATATGCTCATTGTCCATTTTATCAGCTCCACTTACTATATAGGTGCTCTTTGTAGTTCTACAATTACAGACTGTTGTCCATCTGTTTCTCTGCCTACTTTGATAGCCCCCTTTTACCCTGTTCTTCAGTGGTCAGGACCCCCATGGACCCTCACAGAGCAGGTACTATTTGGGTGGTGGATCATTCTCAGCACTGCCGTAACACTGATGTGGTGGTGGTGTGTTAGTGTGTGTCGCGCTGGTCTGAGTGGATCAGGCACAGCAGTGCTGCTGAAGTTTTTAAACACCTCAGTGTCACTGCTGGACTGAGAATAGTCCACCAACCAAAAATATCCAGCCAACAGCGTCCTGTGGGCAGCATCCTGTGACCACTGATGAAGGACTAGAGGATGACCAACACAAACTGTGCAGCAGCAGATGAGCTATCGTCTCTGACTTTACTGACAGTGAACTGACAAGGTAGGAGTGTCTAATAGAGTGGACAGCGAGTGGACACAGTGTTTAAAAACTCCAGCAGCACTGCTGTGTCTGATCCACTCGTATGCTATGACCCCAAAAAAAAATGTTAGGCTAACCTGTTTGTTGTTCTTGGCGGCTTCTACTCCCATGCCAAAGGGCTGGTTGCCTTTGTAGCGAGGAGGACAGGGAAGGCAGTGGAACCCAGGGTCAGTGTTCATGCAGCGGTGGCGCCCGCCCACTTTGAAGCACAGATCAGGCACCAAATCACACTAGAAATTAAACACACAATGCCATAATAGCAGTGAATGTAGAATAGTCTGTGCAGGGATGTTTCTATTAGCAGTATTTTTTAAATAACTCTGTACGTTAATAAAGAATTTGACTCGTATGTGTATATTGAGTAAAGGTGGGAATCTCTAGGCACCTCACGTTTCGATTCGATTACGATTCAGAGGGCTGCGATGCGATTATAAAATGATTATCGATGCATCTTGATGCATCTTTTTTTCTATACAGGATTTCTATTTTCTCACTGTGTGAGGACTTGGTACTTTTAAAGCAAAGTATTTGTAATGATCCATAATGAATATACTTCCAATATCTTTTATTAATAAAACAAATGGAAGTGATGTGGCAAGTGAACTAGAAGGCTCTCATTCACGGCTCTTGATTGGAGCACATGAGACGCAGGCTGCCATTTATCTGTGATAAAATGCGCTGTTACAGTGACATAGGATTATATGGATATCCACCCATCATGTTACAGCTGTCCTACCCGTTTCTTTAGTGATTTAATAACTTCGGTTTTGGTCTTGTTGTAGAGAGTGCGGGGTTCGCTGTGTCAGCAAAATATCTTTGAGACGGGACATGTGCAACATAGCGTGAAAGCCCTAGTTCTCAACGACTGAGAACTGGCATGCAGACTGCAGGTCACATAGCAACGCGGTCTCACCTAGCTAGTAGCTAACGAAAGGCAAAGAGAGAGATTTAAGAGAGATTTAAGATGAACATTAAAATTTAGAAAATCAATTTTTGACATTTGTGAATTGATTCAGAATTGTTCACGTCCACATTGCGATGCATCTAAGAACCCCACCCTCCACCCCAATACTGAATATATACATCAGCTTCAAACGTGGTACAGCCAAACAGATTTCAGAAATGGAACTATACATTTTATGCACTACCCATTTTCTTTCTTAGATAGCTTTTTGAGCAGCATCATGGATAAATAAACTAAAGCTGGATTAACAAACAGGACCGTATTTGGTGCATGGTGTCAGTGCCAAAGTGATATAGGCTATGTGAGCTGATTTAAGGGTGCTGACTGCATTAACACATTCTTTCCAGGTCCTTTTCCCCTCTTACCTCATTGACATCCTCACAAATAGTTCCATTGCCACGGAAACCAACAGGGCAGGGACCACATTCCCATGAGCCGTCCGGTGCACTGGTGCAGTCCACCCCTCCAAAACAGGGATTGGACAGACAGCCATCTGAGAGAGAGAGAGAGAGAGAGAGAGAGAGAGAGAGAGAGAGAGAAAAGAACAGACATTGAGAGAGTTTGAGAAAGAGTGTGAGAAAAAGAGGGAGAGAGAGAGAGAGAGAGAGAGAGAGAGAGAAAAGAACAGAGAGTGAGAAAGGGTGAGAGACAGAAAAAGACAGACATTGAGAGAGTTTGAGAAAGAGTGCAAGAAAAAGAGGGAAAAAGAGAGAGAGAGAGAGAGAGAGAGAGAGAGAGAGAGAGAGGGAGAAAAGAACAGAGAGTGAGAAAGGGTGAGAGAGAGAAAAAGACAGACATTGAGAGAGTTTGAGAAAGAGTGCAAGAAAAAGAGGGAAAGAGAGAGAGAGAGAGAGACAGAGAGAAAAGAACAGAGAGTGAGAAAGGGTGAGAGAGAGAAAAAGACAGACATTTAGAGAGTTTGAGAAAGAGTGCAAGAAAAAGAGGGAAAAAGAGAGAGAGAGAGAGAGAGAGAGAGATGGAGAAAATGTGAGATATTGAGACATTGACAGGGTATGAGAAAAAAAAAGACAGCGATGTTGAGAGTGAGGGAAAGACCAAAAGAAAATTAAGGGGAGAATGAGAGAAAGAAAAAATGAGAAAAAGAGAGAGAGGGGGGGAGAGGGGGAGAGAGAGAGAGAGAGAGAGAGAGAGAGAGAGAGAGAGAGAGCGAGAGAGGGGAAGGGAGAAAGAGGGTTTAGGGCAAGACAGGGACAGGATAAGAACAGGGGAGAAAGTGAAAGGGAACAGGAGAGAGAGAGGAAGAAAAGATCAGAGAGAGAAGGGCAAAAAAGAAAGAGAGAGACAGACCCAAGCCCTTAACGTCTTGCCATACAAGCTTTGTCAAACTCAGGAACCCAAAATAATGCCAGAAGTTCACATGAGGGGCAATGCGTCTAAACATTTCTTCTTGTGTCATGTCAGCCAGCATCAACAGAGATAACCAGTGCTTGTCGAGAAAAGGCCATTACATAGAGAGAGCTTGAAACATTCCAGATGAGAAGTTTGTCTGGGGCAGAGAACTAAAACAAAGACAGTTTTGGGAACAAGGCAGAGGCGGACAGTGCTTGCTGTTAACATACCCATGGGGCAGTCCTGCTTGTTGCAGGCCTCGCTGTCCTTGGCTTCTCCAGAGCACCTTTTGCCACCGTGCTGAGGCTGAGGGCTGTTACAGACTCTGGTCCGACCCCGCACTCCCCCGCCACAGGTGGCAGAGCATATTGCCCAGGGAGACCATGGGCCCCAGCCTCCATCAACTGCAAACATAAGCATATGAACTCAAAAAAGGAACCACCAAGATGTGCTTTAGTTTTTAACTGTACATTTCTGACTGTCTATCAGCAAGGGAGGGGTTGCTAAAGTGACCTGTGAGTGTATTATACTAAAAAAGTAGAGTTTCTTTATTGCACTTAATACTGCATTATTGTTTGATAAATGGCATTCCACATTTCACTTCTATTTGTTGATGCAATTGAAATGTGATTGTACTTTGTTGTATTTTGCATTCTTTAGAGAGGAATTCCACAAATTTTTCAAAACATCAGCATAAATAAATCTTTAAGATATGAGTCATTCAGAACGGTTTGATGTGAAATGCTGCCTTTCTGCATATGAAATGCCAATGTGTGTGCAGCTGAAAAAGTCTGAATGTATTCACTCACTTGGGCAGGGCTTGGCTTCACAGTGCTGTGTCTCTCTGCCGCTGCCTTCACAGTCTTTTCCTCCAAGCTGGGGCACAGGGGAGTTACAGTGGCGGATTCTGGTAATCTGTCCTTCTCCACATGTCAGTGAACAGGAGGACCAAGGAGACCACAGACTCCAGCCACCATCCTGACGAACTGTGAAAACAGTCAGGGCATTTTCTGTTGCATCCACACTCGCTTAGTGTTCTCTATATAATCTTTACACATTCTTATTATGGAGCGTGATTTTAAAAAAAGGCCTATTCAGCACTTTGTCCAAGATTGTCCAAAATGCCAAATAGCAGCTGTATGTTCATTGTTAAAGAACAGTTTTTTTATGAATCATTCAGAGTGCTGGAAGTCATCTTGCCTTGGAACACCACAGCCATATGGCATTCATCAAACTCTTACTGAGGCCTCATGATAAAATGTCATTTAAATTCCTCACCCTATCGCCATCAGCTTCATAAATAAAAACAAAAAAACAGAGAAAAACAAAAGGCATTGTAAATTTGCAGCCCTACAGTTCCTAATGAAAAGCTTGGTGACATGCTATGTTGAATTCTAAGAACTGAACAGTCATTTGGGACTAACGTGTTATGTAACCCAATTGACTTTGGTCTAAACAATAGAAATAATCTATTCCAGAAGCGATTAACGAGTTTGACATTTTTTTGTTCTGATTGAGGAAATGGAAAAAGGAAAAAAAAACAAAAGAAAAAAAAACAGATAAAAGATTTGAAAATGGTAAAAAGAAAATGTTCATGACCTCGAAGATTACATGAATCACATGCATTTAGGCGAGTGACGGAACCAAATTTTGCAGAGATAATAGATTTCCAGCTGGGCACCCCTGCTATAAAACGACCATCTGTTTTTCATAAATAAACTTTTGGTAGGTTTTCCCTTAAAAAACATTCCTGCAAAATGTGCGAGTGGGAAGAACCTTCACGACCTAAAGCTAGCATTTAATATGTTATTTCTCATGTTATGCCATCAGTTTCATTAGTTTGACAGAATTCACAGTTTTGTATTGTTTTTGTGTTTTTGGCCAAAAGTGTTCTCTCACCAGATTACCCAGCATGCATTAAGCAAAGACATCACACAACATTTGGGAATTTCTATGGCACTCAGCGAATTCTGATAGCTAGCCAGGTTAATGAATACAGCTGTGGTGCTGGCTAGAATTAATGATATAGCACTAAACTATTTATTTGCTTAGTTTGTTAAAGGAATAATTTTGTTGAAGAAATTCAAACCAGTCTGCCCCAGGTATCCACCTCAAAACACTTGTAGTCTTTCAAAATTAACTTCGACCTTTAGGATACATCATCAGAAGCTTGGGGGGCAGGAGGGGATTCCTGGTCTTTAAACCAAAAAATCCTTATAGACTGCTATGGGATCACAAGATAAGAGGCAAGTAGGCATGTTTACAACAATTCCACATGGCCAGCGTATCCCTTTAAAAGTTAAAGGAACCTCCATATTAATGTAAGGTTCACCAATTTCAGGTTTTTTCTTAGAACTGTATGTTCAAGCCAAGCTTTTTAAAAGTGTATGACATGCTTAATTCTGTATTTATGATTACTAGTAATGAAACTCTATCCTATTATAAAAAGGACACACCTAGAAACCAAGCATAGGAGAAATCTATATGCTGTTGCAGTTCTTGTGGTGCTAATAAAAGATAAATTCCCAGCCCGCCCAGACAATGCTGGACTTCACTATATAATGGGATATGATGCATGTACGGCTGGACTTTCTCACCTCGGCTGTCACATTTGGCCAGACTGCACCTGCGGGTCTGGATAGATGGGCCGCTGCAGGGGTTACTGGTGGCATCACATGACCTGCCTCTTTGCTGAGTGCCGGTCCCACATGTGACTGTGCACTCCGTCCACTCAGACCAAGGCGACCAACCATCCTCACTGTCTTTAGCTATAAACATGCACACGTGCTCGTTAGTATATTAGTATTTTGACCTTGCCACACCCTTTGTAGTCCTTCTCATTGGGAAAGTTTAGAAAAATGAAGTAAATAGACAAGCCCTGGCCAAGACGTTTTGGAAGTTGAGTTATACATGACATCATCATTCTAAGCCCATTGTGACCACTTCACAGGGTGGAAGCATCCAGTGCTGGTGCTTAATGCACTGCAATAACAATGGGTGGTTAGCCTTTAGAATACAACAGGCTATAAAATAATAACAGTGACGTATCATTAAATTCAGTAAACATGGTGACTCATACACTCTGCTGGCCCAAACATACCAGCAGCTCAGGCTTCACATACAAACGACCAAAGTATATTTTGGTATGTGCACCAATGCATGGTGGCCAACTTCATCTCTTTAGTATCACTCAACAATATGAATGGAAACTTCACTGGAGCGCACACAATCAACAGACATTTGAAGCTGTGCGTCATTCTAAGCAGACTTTCTGTCTTTGGGAAAAAAATGATTGCCGTTTACGAAAAGCAAAAGTGTGGTAAACAGAAATGTTTCAGAGCAATATGCTTTGTCCTGTGTACATTTTTCCCCCCAAATGTAATCAGATTCTCTGAATTACAAGACTGTTAAAAAAGTCAATATACAAATAATGCTACATACATACTACTAGCAAGCCAACAGTCGATGGCATTGAAATAACATTGCATGAAAATAAGTTAAATATTATATATTAAAAGTATTATATAAATAGCAGCCACAATAACTGTAGACTACTACTGCCAAAGCTTCTTAACCACCCCAACAAACAAAGCTGCTGATTTACACCGGCATTTTGGTGAAGTTGCAGGATTATGATGTCAGTTCAATGCACTGTATTGTATTGGCATCAGAACATTTTTGTTTGCCACTGGGTGTGTGATCTTTCTATGATATTTCCTCATAGACAAAAAAACTTCTTAGACTCAGAGTTCTTAATTTGGGCATGACACCAACTACAGAATAACAACAAAACTTTAGAGGTCTATGAAAGCAGAGTCAGATCACAGTCAAGTTCTCAAGTGCTCTGAGCTGGTTGTATCCTAAATAAGGAAAGGTGACACCAAGTAGGAAAGGTGATACCAAGGTTAGTATCTAATACCAATAATTGCAGTACACATAAAAAAGGGAAATTTGCAATATCTATGGTGAGAATACATGTTTGTGTGTGTGTGTGTGTGTGTGTGTCGCTAATTATTACCAGGGACATTTCACTGGCTTAAATATGAATGGGATCTCTCATAATGCAAATGCTTTTCAATAAAAATAACCAACTGCTTTCTATTTGGTACAAACATACGCAATAAAAAGCCCTTCTTATTGTGCGGGTATGTACATGCTTAGTAAAAGTTGAAGCTAACTTGAAAAAATTTTATTTTTTTCTTTGAGCACCACAAACTATGTATGTGCTTACTGGTGAGATTTTACTGGTGATTTCAAATATGTTTTTGATACCTAGCTATGAGCTTATAGTTTAAAGATTTTTTTCCGTTCAAGTAGATAAGGGCCTGGTCTTGTATGACTGGAGATAACTTTCCAGGGACACTGCTAACATCACAGTCAGACTTAATGTTACTCACGCAAGCACACAGGACAGCACTCTCCATCTAGGAACATCGGACTGGCACAGGCCACAGGAGGACAAGTAATCTGATGACACACAATCTTTGACTCCTACCAATAAAAACAGGGGAACAAGAAGCTGAAGCTAAAGCTACTCAAGCTAAAATAAAGAGAAGAACAAGATGAGCTAAGGCTAATCAGGTTAACATACAATAAATAGAGGAACAAGGAACAAAAGCTTATATAAAGAGAGAAGCTAAAATAAAGAGGGGGGCAAAAAAACTGAAGCCAATTAATCTAAAATAAAGAGGAGAACAAGAAACTAAAACTAATCAGGCTAAAATTAGGCAAGATATCATACTATAGCCAAAACCTATTCTCTCTATCTGTGGTACTTTACCTGGCAGGTACACTTGGTGCAGCTATCCACCACCCAGTCCTCCTTATCCTCGAAGAGGCGGCCATCTTGCCAGCACATGTGCTTATCTTTGATGTTTTTCATGTTTCCCAGAGCTTCCTTCATTACTAGATTTTCCTCAGTCTGAAAGAAAGACAGACAGACAGGACAGCACAAACACAAGGTCAGGAAATTAACACCCAAATCTTCATCAACCACTTCCATATAGGGGGAAAAAAGCACTGACATATGCGACTGGTTTTATAGCTAACGGATCAGGTCAGGAGACCACATAAAAAAAAAGAAAAAAAAAAGAAAAAAAACAATTTAAGAACATATAGCATAAAAATCCAACAATTGCTAAAAATAAACTTATATAATAAATAATTTTTATGATATGTAGTTTAGTTCAATGTTCTAGAAGTACTGATGATGATATACTCAGAAAAGTGATATAAATCATCACGATAAGAGTAATTGAGAATAGTAATCTCATTGCTGTCCATGGAAAAACATGCAGCTCCAAAATGGTAACTTTAAAAGAGAAGGTAAAAACATTTTTTTTTTACTTTTAATGTAAGTTAATGTAATGAGATTATTACAAGCAGTTTTTGGAGCCAACTTAATAATAATAATAATAATAATAATAATAATAATAACAATAATAATAATAATAATAATAAGATAACAAATAATAATAATAATAAGATTACAAAGAAAGGGAAAGTTCGTGAACGAACTTTAAGTTGGCTTGAAAAAGCCAGTTAATTACGTTAAAACGTTAAAATGGTTTAAGACTTTTGAAAGTTGTTAAAATATTGGTAAAATGTTGCTAAGCAGAAGCTGCAGTATCTGGTATCTGTGGTGGATTATAATTCGTTGCTAGATGCTAGCGTGAATGAAGTTCCACCTTAAAGTCTGTGCCACCTTAAATTTAGTGCTACGTGAAATCAGTCCCTCCTTAAATTCTGTAATGCCTTAAATTTAGTGCTATGTTAATTGAAGTTCCACCTTAAATTGTGTGCCAAATAAATTTTCGTGCTACCTTAAATGGAGTGCCACCTTAAATTCTGCTCCACCTTAAATTTGGTGCCGCCTTAAAAAGAGTTCCACTTCAAATTCTGTGCCACCTTAAATTTAGAGCTATGTTGATTGAAGTGCCACCTTAAATTTAATGCTATGGAATGATAATTCCACCTTAAGTTCTGTTCCAACTTAAACTGAGTGTTATGGTAATAGCGGTTCCACCTTAAATTTAATGCTATGGTAATTGAAGTTCCACCTTAAATTCTGTGCCATCATAAATTTAGTGCCACCTTAAAAAGAGTTCCACTTCAAATTCTGTGCCACCTTAAATTTAGAGCTATGTTGATTGAAGTGCCACCCTAAATTTAATGCTATGGAATGATAATTCCACCTTAAATTCTGTTCCACCTTAAACTGAGTGTTATGGTAATAGCGGTTCCACCTTAAATTTAATGCTATGGCAATTGAAGTTCCACCTTAAATTCTGTGCCATCATAAATTTAGTGATATGTAAATAGTAGATCCACCTTAAATACAATGCTATGTTAATTGAGGTTCCACCTTAAATTCTGTGCCATCTTAAATTTATTGCTATGTTAATTGAAGTCCCACCTAAAATTCTATTCCGCCTTAAATTTAGTACTATGTTAATAGCAGTTCCATCTTAAATTTAATGCAATGTCAATTTCAATTCCGCCTTAAATTCTATTCCGCCTTTAATTTAGTAATACGTTAATAGCGGTTCCACCTCAAACTTAATGCTATGTGAATTGAAGTTCCACCTTAAATTCTGTTCCGCCTTAAATTTAGTAATATGTTAATAGCGGTTCGACCTAAAATTTTATGCTATGTAAATTGAAATTCCACCTTAAATTCTGTGCCATCTTAAATTTAGTGCTATGTTAATACCAGTTCCACCCTAAATTTAGTGTTATGTTAACTGAATTTCCACCTTAGATTTATTATGCTAATTGAAGTTCCACCTTAAACTCAGTGCTAACATACATGCAGTTCCACCTTAATTACAGTGTCAGTGTAAACTCAGTTCTACCTTAAAAGAAGTTCCACCTTAAAATTCAGTGCTACCTTAGTGCAATTCCACCTTAAAAGCTGTTCCACCTTAAAAAATCATTATGTGTGCTGATACTGCTGAGCATTAGGCTGTGAGCATGTGAGACATTGGGCTCTGTGCGTGAGTTTGGATGGGTGTGTGAGTTAATGGGCCATTGTGACACCATGTGTGGCATGCTGCCAACATACTGCCCATTCATTCCCTATGGAAAAAAATATCGACTTTGAATGTTAATTTTCCGAAAACCGTACGTCGGATCGCTTAGAAAAGCACAAGCAACCTAATCGGGTATAGGATCTACGATCCTGCAAAGCTTCGTGGCTCTAGCTTGAAAACTGTAGGAGGAGTAGCATTTAGTTTTTTGAGTATAGCTTAATAATAATAACTAGAAAGGGAAAGTTCGTGAACGAACTTTAAGTTGGCTTGAAAAAGTTAGTTAATGACGTTAAAACGTTAAAATGGTTGAACACTGTTGATAGTTGTTATAATGTTGCCAAAATTTTATTAAGCAGAAGCTGCAGTATCTGTCGTGGATGGTAATTCATTGCTAGTTGCTACCGTGAATGAAGTTCCTCCTTAAATTCTGTGCCACCTTAAATTTAGTACTATGCTAATTGAAGTTCCACCTTAACTTCTGTGCCTCCTTAAAGTTAATGCTATGTTAATTGAAGTTCCACCTTAAATTCAGTGCTAATTTAAAAGCAGTTCCACCTTAATGTCAGTGTCAATGAAAACTCAGTGCCACCTTAAAAGGAGTTAAAATGGTTGAAATGAACAAAGTTAAAATGGTTGAAGACTGTTGATAGCTAAAATGTTGCCAAAATGTTTCTAAGCAGACGTTGTAGTATCCATGGTGGATTTTAATTCTTTGCTAGTTGCTACTGTGAATCAAGTTCCACCTTAAACTTTGTGCCACCTTAATTTTAGTGCTGCCTTAAAGAGAGTTCCACCTTAAATTCTATGTCGCCTTAAAAGAAGTTCCACCTTGAATTTGTGCCACCTTAAATTTAGTACTATGTTAATTGAAGTCCCACCTTAAATACTGTGCCACCTTAATTTTAGCACTACCTTAAAGAGTTCCACCTTAAATTCTGTTCCACCTTAATTTTAGTGCTAGGTTAATTTAAGTTCCACCTTAAATTCTGTGCCACTTTAAATTCAATGCAATGTTAACTGGAGTCCCACCTTAAATTTTGTGCCACCTTAATTTTAGTTTTACCTTAAAGAGAGTTCCACCTTAAATTCTGTGCCTCCTTAAAGTTAGTCGAATGGTAATTGAAGTTCCACCTTTAATTTATTGCTAACTTAAATGCAGTTCCACCTTAATTTCAGTGTCAGTGTAAACTCAGTGGTACCTTAAAAGAAGTTCCACCTTAAAATTCAGTTCTACCTTAAAAGAAGTTCCACCTTAAAATTCAGTCCTACCTAAGTGCAATTCCACCTTAAAAGCAGTTCCACCTTAACAAATCATTACGTGTGCTGACACTGCTGAGCATTAGGCTGGGAGTGACATCGTGTGTGGCATGCTGCCAATATTCCGCCCATTCATTCCCTATGGGAAAAAATTTCGACTTTGAACGTTAATTTTGGGAAAACCGTATGTCGGATCGCTTAGAAAAGCACAAGTACACCCCGCGGGTATGGGTCCTACGAGTTTCGTGGTTCTAGCTCGAAAACTGTAGGAGGAGTAGCATTTTATATTTTGAGCGTAGAATAATAATAATAATAAGAAGAAGAAGATTACGAAGAACAGTAAGTTGGCTTTTTCAAGCCAACTTAACTAGAAAGGGAAAGTTCGTGAACGAACTTTAAGTTGGCTTGAAAAAGCCAGTTAATGACGTTAAAACATTAAAATGGTTGAACACTGTTGATAGTTGTTAAAATGTTGGCAAAATTTTGTTAAGCAGAAGCTGCAGTATCTGTCGTGGATGGTAATTTGTTGCTAGTTGCTACCGTGAATGAAGTTCCACCTTAAATTTTGTGCCACCTTAATTTTAGTGCTATGTTAATTGCAGTTCCACCTTAAATTCTGTGACGCCTCAAATTTAGTACTACGTTAATTGAAGTTCCACCTTAAATTCTGTGCTAACTTAAAGTTAGTGCTATGTGAATTGAAGTTCCACCTTAAATTCAGTGCTAATTTAAAAGCAGTTCCACCTTAATTTCAGTTTCAGTGTAAACTCAGTGCTACCTTAAAAGTAGTTATAATGGTAAAAATGAACAAAGTTAAAATGGTTGAAGACTGTTGATAGCTGTTAAAATGTTGCCAAAATGTTTCTAAGCAGAAGCTGCAGTATCCATGGTGGATTTTAATTCTTTGCTAGTTGCTACTGTGAATCAAGTTCCACCTTAAACTTTGTGCCACCTTAATTTTAGTGCTGCCTTAAAGAGAGTTCCACCTTAAATTCTGTGTCGCCTTAAAAGAAGTTTCACATTAAATACTGTGCCACTTTAATTTTAGCACTACCTTAAATTATGTGCCACCTTAAATTTAATGCTATGTTAATTGCAGTGTCACGTTAAACCAAGTTCCACTTTAAATTCTGTGCCACCTTAATTTTAGTGCTGTTAATTGAAGTTCCATCTTAAATTCAGTGCTAAGTTAATGCAGTTCCACCTTAATTTCAGTGTCATTGTGAACTCAGTGCTACCTTAAAAGAAGTTAAAATGGTTAAAATGGTTAAAGTTAAAATGGTTGAAGACTGTTGATAGCTGTTAAAACACTGCCAAAATGTTCCTAAGCAGAAGCTGCAGTATCCGTGGTGGATAGTAATTCTTTGCCAGTTGCTACTGTGAATGAATTTTCACTTAAAATTTTGTACCACCTTAAAAATGTTATTTGAAGTTCCACCATAAATTCTGGACCACGTTTCATTTAGTGCTATGTTATTTGAAGTTCCACCTTAAATTCTTTGCCAATTTTCCTGCTACCTTAAAATGAGTTCCAACTGAAATTATGTGCCGCCGTGAAAGAAGTTCCACCTTAAATTCTGTTCCACCTTAATTTTAGTGCTAGGTTAATTTAAGTTCCACCTTAATTTCTGTG